CAGCCGTGAAGCTACCGCCATCCTCTCGCGACGGGTCCCTGTTGTGGGTTTGGCGTGACGGGCCTCCTTCAGCGAGGTCTCGGGGCCCTTGGCAATGATGCGTCCGAAAGCGATGGGACTGTTCGGGGATCCTTGAGGGACGCCATTTGACTGAGGGAGACGGAAGAGTTTGCCGCGGAAGAAAATCTCTAGGATGCCCAGGCTCGGCCTTCCCATTCATTGATGCAAACATCGGTCTCGATCTGTTCAGCTAGGGCAGCTAGGGTTTCCTGATAGACTGAGTCGAAAGCTTTGCGGATGTCGAGCTTTGTCAGAAACATGGGCAGACCCCAGTCGTGTGCAACCCTACAGAGTCACTCCTTGACAAGAACGGCGTGCCCGCTGGAGTCGGGAGTCCCCTTGAACAGGGCGGGAGACGCGGCCGATGAGGAGCTGAGGAAAAGTCTTAAGCAGAACCGAACTGAGCGTAATGGGCCTCGTGTTGCACCAATCAGCAGCTGTTCCCGTTTTGGCCAGCAACACCGTGATCCCCCGTTCGATGTTTGCGGGGATCTTGGCTGTGTAGAGCATGTCGTCGAAGAGCCACGAAAGCTTCCCCCGCCAGAAGCTGTGGGTCTCCAAGATTTTTAAGGCTTCACGCAAATGCTATCAGGCCCACACGCCTTGCCAGCGCTTGTGCACGGCCTTGGGTTCCTCTTCGTCAAAGGGCATCCACCGCACCTGTTTGCATTGGGCCATCATGCAGGAGTTGCCATCGATATCGGCGAGCTGACGAGCTTCCGAACGTCGTGGTTTAGTTGCTCGAGCTGGACACAACTGGGACGATCACTTACCTGTTCGTGAAGTATCTGTAGCTCGGCGACCTAGCAGCACCTAGCAAAGAACACCATGGCCACTGAATCCGGGGACCATCCAGAGTTGGGGACGCCACCACAGGGGACTCCGAAGCGTGCCCGAAAGACGGGGAAGACATGGAAGGAGACGAAGCCCGCGGCAGACAGCCTCTGACCCTCGCTCTCCTCCAACAAGCCATGCAGGCAAATCAACAGCAAATCATGGAACCCATCGCGAGTTGCGCAAGTCGAAGCCAACATGGAGGAACACGTGAAGCGGACAACGATCCTGCTCGATGCTGTGGCCGACCGCCACTGCCATATGGAGCGGTCAGTAAATAAGGCCGCATCCGGACATGGTGGCCTTTGGCGTCGACTTGAGGTGCTCGAGGGCAAGTTTGCAACGGCAAGCTTTTCCACTTCCAGCACTCGCACAACAGACGGGGGAGCACAGGGCCCTACCTCGCACCCAGCAGTAGTGGTTGGGGGATGGGATACAGATCAGAGCCCGGAAAAAACGCTTCGACTTGTCAAACAACACCTCTCCGAGCTCCGCTGTGACCTCGACTTGGAAGATGTGCTTGTGCCGGGGATCCGCAGAGGGTTCGCGATCGTGCCCATTGCCCCCCGAACCTGGAACCAACGGCAGACTTCCATCGAAGAGTACGAGAAGCTCTCCAGACCGTCCGTGAGGCAAAACTCGTCACGGGGACCCGTCCACAAGGAGGGGACAGATACATGTGGGCAGCTACGAGTGAGAGCCCGGAACGGCGACGCCGAGCTCAATTTGCGGGGAAAGGTGAAGAGACTCATACTTGAGGCGTCAGGAGATCTTCGACAACTTGGGGTGGACTGGCAACGTATAGTATGCCAAAACCAAGATCGACACTGCCCAACCTGATGCAGACAAGGCTGGAGCTGGATGGATCTCCATCCCCACTTTGCCGCGACAAAAGTTCGCTCACTGCACAGTGGGACGAACTTAAGCAGACCTTGAAGTGAGACTTAGGAGATGAGTTTCACCCTGAGGTGCCGGACACCCACCCGGGGAACATGCATGCCTTGACCTGGAACGTGGGGGCCTCACCCCTGCTGACGCCTTTCAAATACTGGAGACCTTCGAAAAGAACAAATTCAACCTTGTTCCTCAGCCTTTGTCGGTTATTGTCGAGAAGGGCAAGACTGAGTATGAACAGGGGACCATCCAGATGATCGCGGGGAAGCAAGAAGGCGAATGGCGTGGCACAGCCATTGCCCACAGCTACCACTTTCAGCACAGCCGGGGCCGGGTCAAACTTCTTCAAGCAGGCCTGTGCGCCACTCTGACGTGCGAGACATTGCGTTTCGTGATGGTGACGGGACACCTGCCACACCCCGCCACTTTCCTCGAAGCCAAAGCCGTGTTGACAACCTGGCAGACCCAACTGGCGGGGGATCCCAAACGAGTCCTGGGAATGGATGCCAACGAGATGTTCAAAGGAAGGCGTGGGAGCAACATCCTGGCTGAATCTGCACGGAGCGAATTGCCACTAGACACCCTGGACTCGCTTGCCATGAAGATCCCGCCTCAGAACCTGGACAAGCCGTCATACTTCCCGTACAACCAGCAGATGCGACCCAGACGATTAGACTATGTGTGCACTCGCCACATGCTCACTTCCGAGGGGGACATCGTTGGCACGTGACCTCGCCCGAAGTGACCACGAGCCTGTACACGTGGTGCTGGCCCAGCCGGGGCTGAAGGAGCCGCCGACACCTCCCAAAACCTGGGGGGCGAGATGCATGCGAGATGACCGCATCGTGAACAAGATCTTGGAAAGCTTCGAGCCCACGTCCACGCACCACGTGACCCTGATCGCTGCAGTGGCTCTTCAGATTACCAGCCTGGACGACAAGCGGAGCGCTTCATGAAGAGCAGGGAGATCGAGCAGAAGCGACGGGAAATCCTCCATATGCCCTCGGGGGATGAAAGGAAACGCCTGTGGAAGGAGCTTGCCAATGCTTCGTCGAAAAGAGCACCCAGCCTGGAGTACAGCCATTCTTGAGCTCGCAGGCAAAGGCTTCTGGCAGAGCAAGACGGCGGTCGACCAAGAAAAGCACGACTCCGCCTGGTTCGCCTGCGATCCGAAGATAGATGGTGCCACCCTTGTCGAGCACTTCGGTGGGATCTTCAACAAGCAGGACGTGCAGCTCGTTGCTCGAAGATTTCAAGCCATAAAATTGTGCAAAATGTCCCTGCTCGCAAGAGCTGCTGCGGTCACCGTTGAGGACTGTTCTTGACTATGTCCTCGGGCCGGACCCGCAGCAGGTAGGCGCGCGATCAATTCCTTCAGCACGATGGCTCAGGGCTACACGGGGCACAGGCACACAAATGTCCTCGGCGAGACCTGACTCTACGCTCACAAGACGCTCTTTCCGCGTCCTCTTGAACCACTCACGGCCTTGAGCCAAAATGGTCGATCTCTCTCTCTCTCTCTTATCTCTTGTTGTCGCTCTGTATGTACTTACTATCATGTCCATCGTTGTTGGCACTCGTGCCCGACCAAGTTAGGCGAGGTTGCCGTTGCTATTGATATCAGCTGTATTGCTGCTCCTCACGCGTGCTTGGTCTTGGCTAGAAACATTAGCTTCAGTGATCGCTGCTGTTGCTACTGCTACTACTGCTACTACTACTGCCAGCGTTTTCATCGCTGCACCACCTGTGCCTAAACACGGCGTAAGCTTGCAAGAGTCAGTGCTTGGTGGTTGAAAACTCCATCCAAGCCAATCCGAATGCGGCTCGCAGGCTTTTCATTCTACATCAGCCAACGGCATCACAGGCTTCTAATGATCCTAATTTCGGTTACCACTCGTCCTCACAAGCCTTGGTCTTGGGAGGACGAGACTGCCGGGATCACGGGTCTCAAGTCTCGCGGGCATATGGCAAGTCCAATTCTCCCGCGATGTAGGGTTGTGGTGTGGTCGCCACGAGCCAGCACTCATGGACTCTCAGAGCTCCGCATCAACACACTACCTTTTGATAAATCCACTACGTTTCGAAGCCACTCGACTAAGAAACATCCTACATCAACCTGCCTTCTGCCAAGTTGCACGGATGTCCTGAGCCGGGAGGGCCACACGCCAGAGGTGCCGGAGGCTGGCAAGCAGGTTTGCGGCGCCATCTCGCAGTACTAGGGAGCTTCAAGAAGGCTAATTTGTCGGCTCCTTCGCGGACTGATGGCGCATGTTTGGGGCTTGCGGCTGCCAGTTAACAACGCGTCGAGGCGCGATCACGTTTCAGAACCATCCGGATATTTGTCGCCGGCGGCCGTTCGTGCGACTTGATGACCAAGCTTGCACGGACTTGCTGGGCTTTGTTGCAGTTGGACAGGTGACAGATCCAACAGCTACATGGCATGGAATCAGTTTGAATCAGTCTGGATGCAGGCACATTCAAGCCTTGAGCCATCTGATGGCTGAAGAGATGCAGAGATGCTTCCGGCCACTGTAGTCCCAAATATTGGGCGCTCGCTGATCAAAGTCGATCGCGCGTGTACAAGCTCCTAAGACTAACCGCCCTACTTCTTCCCACAGCACATAGCTATGGCGCTTGAGGCATAGCTCAGTGAAACAACTGCACGGACACAAGACCAGAATCGCCTTCTCAATGCGCCGCCTTGCTTCGACCTCTACTCAACTGTCGCTACTGCTCGTGACGGTTGAAATCTGCTTTTCGTCTTCGTCACACTCTTCTGTTGCCATGTCTACTTCTGAGTCGCAGGGCCACCCTAGGTTCTGCTTAGTCACCCTTTCCTTACATCCGGGCACGTGAATGTGTGTGCATGTGTGACAATGCTTACATGAGGTCATTGTGCCCTGGCAGCGCTCGTCAGGCATTTGGTGCTGTTCACAGCTGTCCAGCCTGCAAATGTCGAATTTCGTGCATTGTGGGATGTCTGATGCAAACCCCTAATTGCCCTAGTTCAGGCTGTTTCTGACCATGCCAGGAGGCGCTCCCTGTTTCGGTGTTTCTTAGTCCCACGAACTGTAAGCTCACAGGGTACTCGACCCCCATTCGAACTACTGTGGCACTGCGCTGACCATTTCTGGTCCTATCGCTTCGTGCTCTGAGTAAAGGGACCTGCCCAACGGCTGCGTGAGCCCGGCTTTGTCAGGCCCGCACGCTGCTCAACAGGGCAGTAACGAATCCTCTTGCAGCAAAAGTGATCTTTCCTCCTCTGCTGCCTCGTCGACAGGAGCGACTGCAATCCTCAGCAGGAAAAATCAGGTTTTGAAGGCCAACGGCAGCATGTTAACAGACCCGAGGCTCCAAATCTTCCCGGATGGATTCAGACTGAGCTCCAGGAAGGAATCCTGCCAAGTCAAGAGCACTTAGTCTATACGTCTGGTAACGTAGCCAAACCCTGATTCAGCCGTGTCTCAACAAGCCATCTAGATTGACGGGGCATGGACACCGACACAAAGCCGGCTTTGCCTCGTCGTAGGAAAACGTGCTTCGACGTTTGCCGGTCTGATCCTGCCGGGATGCCAGACATTCTGAACATCGGTCGGGGCATCTGCGTGTCAAGGCGGGGCCACAGCCTCAATGCCACACAGCTCTCTAGTGGAGAGCGTCAACCGAGCCTTAGTTGTGGCTTAAAACGACTTCTGTGGGAGAACTCCACCTCCACTCCGGAAGGTACTGGGCACAAGATCCCAAGAAGACCCGCTGCAGCTGATCGCATCAGGCAATTGCACTGCACACGAACGGGGAAGGAGAGATAAATGAGACGACGATGCCAGTCTGAGCATTGGCTGCTGCATCAACTGCGACTCACTGCGGCAACGATGCAATCTCGGAGTTGGTGAGCAACGACTGGTCCTTTGCCAGAAGCGTCATCAACGTGTCCGGCGAGTTCTCCTTAAAAACTTACGCAGAAACGACACGGAAGTCAAGCAGACATTCGTGTGCTCGAACACCAAGCCAAAGCTGTTCCGAGCAGCATCTATGTTCAGCTGAAAGGACTCCCTTATCACAGCTTCACTGCCGGCGTTGTTGTGAACGCGGGTCCGCATGGGCTCGTTGTATCCTTGCAGAGCATAGCCAAACAGAAAATGCATGTGATGGCCGCAGGTCGATTCATCCAGATCGGCAGTGGTCAACAGAAACCTGGGAACTGCTTCGCCTGAGCTAATACACTCCGGCCAGTGCATCGGGGAGCCCATATGACACTCGACGAAGAGATCGTTAGGCTTCGTGAACTTGGAGGATGCACTCTGCAGCCCCTCGACCTGCTGAGATCGCGAAGTGAAAGCAGTGGCGCAGCAAGCCGGCACAGCAGGCAATACTCCCTCCGGGCTGGGTCTTCACAGAGCGCAGCAAGGCATAAGCATGCAAAAACTCTACAGAACTGTTGCACGAGCTTCCTCTCCCTCCAATACCAAAAAATGTCAACTACCGGCCAGGAAACAACCAAGGCAGCCACTACAGTAGACAGAAGATGCTTGAAATCTTAGTCCAGTCCAATTGTTTTCGCTGTTCAGACTCTACGATTGGGCCGCGAGCTCATTGGCAAAGCTTCCCTTGCACTGGCCTTCCAAATGAAAACCTCGATGGGCCTCTGACGAGAGCGGAGGCCGAACAGATCCTGCACAATTGAACACTCATGTGCCTGTGACTTGCGATGCCTGCGCTTACTGGTCCAGACGATTCCATCACCAGGATTCTCTCGTGACGTAGCACCGGGCAAGAGCAAAGCTCCCGCTCCAGGGAGCGGGGCACCCCTCACGAGGGGCCCGGTACTTCTCAGAAAATATCTGGCATGGCATCATTCAGTTTCGTAACGTCGCATCGGGACTCTCATCGCAAGGACATGGTCTGAATGCAAGCAACCAAAGGCAGCAAGCAAAATGCCAAAATATAAACCGCCTTGAACTTGGATTCTCGCATTGCAGCAAGAACTTCGCCAACAAACGGTCGTGGTCATGTGCGGCAGTTTGCAGGGTACTGAATCAACAGCCAAGCTTCCCTCCAATTGAAGCGAATAAGCGTGATGTGCTCTAAGCCAGTAGCTATAGCTATCTTGTTCCGGAATCGGAAGACCACGTAGAATGCGAACCTCAGCAGTCAGGAGGCACACTTGACCTTGCCCATCTGATGCTAGCAAACCATGAGAATGCTCGTGCACCTTCCGAAACAAATTTGGCATCTGCAGGAGCAAGCACCGGCCCGCGAGCTGCTGAGAAGTGCTCGACGATAAACTCACTCTTTCTTCGGTTGGAATGGTTGAAGCTACAGGGGGAGCCTTGTAAACTCTGCGTACGAGGCAGGCCGCATCTTGGGTTAACAGGTTCCACCCTTTCCGGTGCAGTTGCCCACAACGAACATTCGTGATATCATTTCTGCACTCACCATCTCCGGAAACTCTCGTTGGCTGCCGGCTGCGCGCGCTCTGAGGCCGCACCATCGGGATCATCGACTCTCTCTCCTCTCGCCGACCGCTTAGCGTGCCTTGTCTTGCCAAGACAAAGGCCGATCTGCCCTTGCAGGCTAGGCGCAGGATAGATAACGAGGTGATCAGCTTCGCCGTATGGATCAAGACCCAATCAACGAAGCCCACGAAGTACACGCAAAACTGATTCACCTGTTCTCCGAGCACTCTTGGTAGAGCACTCTTGGTAGACCGTCTTTCAATCGCACATGCTTATTTTCGTCTGCTGTCCATTTAGTACTAAACGACGACTTCATTAGTCCGCTTTCCAGCGAGGCCAGCAACATGCTGGTCTTCGGCAAAACGGCCTTAGACATTTAATATGTCCGGGCAGGGTATGTCAAAGATATTTGCTCACCGCTCAAGCCGTAACACGCATGATCAGTCAGACAGTTTCAGGACGAACAAGTGCCGGGGCGGCCACTCCCAACTAAAGACCGCTCTGTGAAAGTCTCAACTGTCTGGCCAAGCTGCTGTCCAATCTGGCAACACACCTATGGTGAAAACCAGGATAAACACATTCAAGTAGGTCGCCTTAGCTTACACTTTTGGATTTTTTGAGCCTCGCAACTCGCACAGGGCAGCCAAGATTTCACAACGACTGGGTACTGATTGACTGGGTCCAAACTACGCATCACAGCAACTGGGGCAGCACCACAGCCAATCCCGCAAATTCCTAGCCTCCCAAGAGAACCATCAAAACCGGCAACACCCCTCCCAGCATCCGTACTCCTCAACATGCACTTTTCTTCTGGACTTAATGGTTCTCCGTGCAATGATGATGAATGAGCTCATGGCATCGAACGGTGTGAAGTACCGCTTCTAATGCTATGTCATTCGGTCCTGCAGCGACCCATTGCGCGACTGAAGCTCACGACCGCTGGGAGACTTCAAGTAAACGAGGTGCCACGCAGAAGTAGACGTGGAGGCGAGTGTAGACAAAGCTGGAGAAGCTCCGGCTGGCTCGATAATTCAGGCGTCCACAGATGCAGGGTAAGCACCATATACCTCGGTTCCGACATGACTCGTGGGAACAGTCAGGCCTTCACGCAGCAACGGGATGGACAGGAGCATGCCGTAAAGAATGCTCGCCTCCGAACTTCACTACGTAAAGCAACATCAACTTGGGTTCTGTGTGTGGGGGAGTGGGGGGCACCTCATGTAGGGATCATGCCAAAAGCTCAGCCAAGTCGCAGGATACAAGCGTGCAAACCTGCAGCTTACCAAGCTTCTCTAGTCTTGTCAAAACCTGCCCACTATGCGCGATCACTGTAAGCAACGGCACGAGGTTTTCGAGATTGTTTCGCATCTGAGATCAAATGACAACTAGAGTCACTAGAGCCCTCAACTACTGCGCTCATGAACACCCGATGCTGCGGTCGAGAAGCCGCCACGAGGATCCAGTCCTGCGGTTGAAAACTGATGCAAACTATGCACAGCGTCTCGCCCATGTACCCGGCAGTACGCATGGGCTCTCACGGAGCCAAGGGGAAGCGTCCTGATATTCTGTGTCAATGTCAAGACGGAAAGGCCACTTGTCGTGAACGATGCCATGCCTCGCTCTAACACCCACGAGAGCAAGAGACTTTCAGCGGATGCTTCGCCTGACACCCATTGCTACAGCCCAACCCGTGACTCGACCCTTTTCTTCCGCAGTCGCAGCCGACACTGCGATGTGGGATCAAATGCTGGACTTCGGGAAAAACTGCCACGCTGAAGTTGGCCACATTCGCGGCCTACAGGTTGCAGCAGCAGCCGAAGTTCTGTGCAAGCGGTCACACCTCTTGTATGCGCCCATCCGTTTTGGGGTTGATACACGAAGTGCCCGCATCAGCAACTGCCGCGAACAGTGCCTGCACGAGGGGAACTGCATCATTCACCGTGACCATATTGTAGAAACGATTCGACGACAGAGCGGATGTCGAAAGCATAAAGTCAGTGAGCGCCACCGTGAGACTGGCATCATCCGGGATTGGCCGGCCATCATCGAAAGTCAGGCTTTTGACCCTCTGTCCGTGTTGCGCTGCAGGATCAAACGTGTACCGCAAACCCGCAGGGTTCACGAAGTTGCCGCAAAAAGTATCGTAGCACTTCAACGAATCATCGATGTAGTTCTTGATCTCTGCCCCGGTTGCATAGATCTTGACGATGCCGTTCCTATGAGGGTGCAGCATGAGCAGGGAGGTTCAGAGAACTTCTTCAAAATGTTGCCGAGGCTCCCAAACGGATGCAACTCCGTGACGATCTCTTTCGAAAGATCGCCAGCTGCGAAGACCTTGTCGGGGCTGCGGGCTGATGGGAGCCGAAACATCACGCACTACATTCACTGCATTTCTCCAGGAAAGTTCGTTGGGCCCTGCAAACCTTGTCTCCTCGGATGGTGCCGCCGTTGATGAGGGCCACCTGTGTCCTGGAAGCCACGACCAGCTTTCGGCCGCGTCTAAGGTATCTACATGCGGGACACGTCATGCCAGAAGCGCTTTGCGGCAAGTCCTGTGCATGTTCTTGACGGCATCAGCCACAAAGTCTCCAGCATTCGTCTCTCTCTGACGCACGTGTCGAGTAACTGCATCGAGTGGGGCGCTTGAACAGCCGATTTTCTTGGCCAGCTCAGCACTGCCTCTCTCCTCCCAGTGAACCACCTTGTTGTGCCTCTGCATGGGCGGTGGGCGAGGATGCTAGCAGACAGAGATTGCAAGATGCTCGTCTCGTTTTACCCTCAAAACATGCTAATGTAGCGCTGGGGGACACACCAACCGAGAATGGGTCGAAGTCTGTAAGCGTTATCAGCTCACCTTCAACGGAGTCCACCGTACCTTCGTCAGTTAGCAGCAGCTTCATCTTCCACTGCGTCTTCAGGTCCGAATCTGCCTGCATGGCAAAGTTGCGCTTGATACTGCAACGGCAACACTCCTGAATGGCCCAAATTTTCACGGCAAATCGGTCCTTCACGTAAGGTGCATGCCCGCACACTGTCTTGAGCTCCGTGCTATGGTCGTGCCCACCCAAGATCCTGGGTGCAGGATTGATTGAATTTCCTGGAAACCAAGTTCGTCAAGTTTCAACTCGCAGCTGCATGTCAGTCAGGCCATAAACATGCTGCCACCCAGTATCAGATCAACGCTTTTCCCCAGCGCCTGGCCAGTTTTGCCGAACAAGCTCAAAGGCACTGCTGCATCAGTGTATGTATCATGGGGTGGACATTGTGATCAGAAGGCTTACACCCGAATTTCCGGTCTTGGCCTTGGATAGCTTGCAATCCTCCGAGGCGAACTGGTGAGTCAAAGCCAAGACGACTTTGCCTTGGACATGCTGCCAAGCAGTTCGATCAAGTTGTCAGGGCGTTTCAACCGTGGAGGCATGTTGCACTGGTGCTCATCTCGAAGAATCTTGGCCTCCTTCTGAGCTGCGGCCAGCGCATCTACCTGGACGAACGACTTCATCACATTTACACATTGCTGTGGGCTACGGGCATCTTAGTTGCAGCCGGAACACATAATTCACCCTGTGTCTGTCCTTGAACATTGTCTCTCGCACATCGTAAGCCACACCAAACAGGCAAACGCGAGTGGTCTTCACGTCACCGCCCTCCGACCAGCGTGGTGAGAAAGGGATGTCTATGATCTTGTGGTGCTGGGTTCCTGAAGGCGACAGGACCCCAAAGTTGCAGACGATCCAAGCTTTTCGAAAGTAGCATGCCCACGTCTGCTAGGGGTGACAACACTTTCCGGGCCCTCCAGCCCTCACAGCCTGGAAACAAAGCGCCGGCTTCATCCAGCAGGTTGGTATTTAACCACACGAACCTGGACTCCTGAATCCGTTTCCTGAGCGTTTCGACGCCGAAATCGAACTCGTGATTGCCCAAGGAGGCAGCAGTAAGATTGAGGAAGTTCAGGATGTCGACCATCTGCTCCCCTTCGAAAAGGTCACTCAGGACCGAAGGGGAAAGCAGGTCGCCCGCGAAGACGACGAAGGTCCGCTCAGGATTCCGTTTCCGTGCCTGTTCGATGACGTAGGCAGCTCGAGACATGCCCCCCTTGCGAATGCCATGTTCAAACACACCGGCTAATTGGTACACATCATTGAAGTGAATGATGGTGATCTCATTTGATGGACTAGGGACTGCACGCAAGCTCGCAATGTAACTCGGCTCATCCTGATTCTGGCACAAGCCGTTTGGCCAATTATTTCGGCAACCATTGGCAGAGCTCAGGAAGCCAAATTTCAGTTTCTCCGCGCTGTTGCAGAATGGATCTAAAACCTCATCGCCGTCACAATCATGGTACTCGATGTGGTCATCATCCCGACTGCAGAAAGTTGAAGGTCTAGAGCAGGACCCTTCTGGGATGTCCGACTCCGACAGCTGTGGGAAGGCTAAGCGTCCTTCCGAGGCCGAGTAACAGTTCCGTGCCGCACAGAGCATTTCTGGCTTGCCTTTACCGGTCGTGCCGCGTACGGTTGCCACTACCACGAATAGCGCCACCGCTGCTGTGGAAATCAGGGTGACAAGCCATCGTGGCTTCCAACCTCTGTGTTCATCTAGCTTGGACAGCGACTCCTCGTCTGCAAGGAGTAGGTCTGCTTCTCTTATGTCTCCCATGGCAGGACAATCCTGTCCTGTTCGGAGCCAAAATGTCGAGCTGCGATTGTGCGCTGGAAATGGCACGTTGAGTCTGAGTCTATGCAGAACTGGTGGCATGAACCTCATGAAGTCTTGGCAAAGGATGCCTCTCTTTGTCGCCACCTATGAGTGGCCCCAGCTCGAAAGGGGGCCTCAGCTGCAGGACGTGGCCATGCGACTGCGTAGATACGACACACTTCTCTGCCCATAAGTCCTGCGAGCTCGCTTGCTGTCCAGGTGCATGAAGCCTCTGGCATGTATCGGGTGTTGGGACAGCCGACACCTTCGACCCTGGCGTCTTTTGGGCCAAATGGTCTGCAGCGCTTGGGTCTGCACGGGCTGGCATGTACACAACAACATTGGGCAATGCTTATGCTTACGTACAGTCATGAGCACGCTTATTGTTGATACTGTCCTTGCGCGGCTCTTAGAGTCTTGCTGCTGCACTTGTTCTTGCGCCTGCGCTGGCTCTCGCTCTTGCTCTCGCAGTCGCTGTTGCCGTTGCTGCCGTTGCTGCTGCTGCTGATGCTGCTGCTGCTGCCGCTGCTGCCGCTGCTGCCGCGGCTGCCGCTGCTGCTGCCGCTGCTGCTGCCGCTGCTGCTGCTGCTGCTGCCGCTGCTGCCGCTGCCGCTGCTGCCGCCACTGCTGCTGCTGCTGCTGCTGCTGCTGCTGCTGCTGACAGTTGCTGTTGCTTTTGCTTTCGCTGCTGGTGCTGATGGTGCAGATGGTGCTGATTGTGCTAATGGCCTTGTGTACTCACAAGGCCACACGGTACTTACTTTTCCCCGCTGCAGCTGGCCTGTGGCATTTTGATCTGCACAGCAGCTGCTCTATGTACATGTGATCCTTGATTCACCGTGCTATGCAAGTGCTGCCATGACGGGACATGCGAAGCCAAGAACCACATACAGATAGACACTTACTGACAAGCGCAGCTCCAGACAGTGATGGAATCTCTTCGCTGGTATTGTCTGCAGCACGCTGCATGGCATGGCTAGGTCTGCTCACCTTCCCCATGCCGCGGTAGGCGGTGGGGGGGGGGGGGCATGCAAAAGGCACCCATGCGTGAGACTCAGGCCAACTGTAAGCGCCTAAGGAAGCAGCGACGACTGGTGCGAAAGCAGTGCCACACCATGAAGCCACATAGAAAAATTGTCTCCAGACTGGTGCCAAAGTTTCCGTAAGTTTCCGTGGCAGGGTCGCCAGCCCGACTTATTTGCCGAGGGTTTTCTGGATCCGCATATTCTACGAAGGTCTCTGCTGGCGATTGCGTCTCTGTTTGCTGCTCCCTGCTGGCCCAGTACTGCTATGATTGCTACGTCGACGCTTCATCATCCGACCGCTCACCGGACAGCGCAGGGGCCTGAATCTTCTCGTCACACAGCCTCCTGCCGACTCCGGCAAACTGGCTGGGCCGGTTCATGCATGTTAAACCTCAAACCGTATGCACAACGAGAGAGTTACGGCTCCCATCGTACATGCCAACACGAACGAAACCGCCAGCACATGAAAATGCCGACGCCTCGCCGCCACGAGCCAGGCTTTGCAGCTCGCGGTAGCTCGGCTGAGATCGCCGACCTCCGTGCCTGGTCATTTCGCTGTATACGGAAGCTGAAGAGCTGTCGCCTTCTTGAGGCATTCAATGCTGAGCCATCCGCGGAGCTTGGAGGCAACTTTGACACAATCCACGCGAAGTGCCTCAAGCGAGAGGAAGAGCTGCGGACACAACGAAGAGATGCGCTAAGCAACAGACCTACTGTGAATCTCACGGCTTTGACGTGCGAGGTCTTCACATTGCCGCTCTGTGCTTGCCTCTTCCCAGCTCTCATGCCCATCCTGACAACAGTTCTCCACTGATGACTAAGGCGCTCAAACTGGTCTCATTTTCGGAGCCAGTGGTTGGACTATCGGCTATCCTGCTCCAGTTCAACGGCGAGGGAAGGGCTGTCCGCCTCTCCACGGACAACCTGACCACGATGCGCTGATTGGAACGAGATCTGTTTAGCAAGTTCAGCACATGTGTGGGTGAACCAGGAGCTCTCTCTCTCTCGTCTGGCAGACACCTATGTACTTTGGCCGGCTTCAGGAAAAGCCGGAGGCTTTCGAAAATCTGCCTCGTCGTCCATCGGCAAGATCCTTGGGCCGTATGGCATCAGATTCACAACTTCGGCCTTGACCCTCGTCATTTTGCCAGTCAACTTTCCTCTGCGACCCTGCCTCAACACAAGCATGAAGGCCTAGAAAAGCCACCCACTGCCTCACTTGACAGGAGTCGAGCCAGTGGATTTTCTGCTGCCCCGTGCCCTTGCCAGAGTTGTCTGTTCCAACTCCTGGGGTCAGAACATGCATTCAACTTGCGCGTGTTGGGCCTGCTTAGCGGCATGTACACACACTTTCTCGTCGGCCTGCTCCAGATGGACACAGCGGGCATCGGCTGCCTGGCAAAGCAATGAGTCTCATTTTGCAGTTTGCGGTCGGCTGCATGGTTCTCTACGTTCTGTCTCACGACTTAAACAAAAAGCGCTAATTCCGAATTTCCGCTTGGAGAAGTTTCAACTACCTGTTCGCAGGCAGAGCAGCAGATTCGCAAAAGAGAGTGGCAGGGTTGATGAAGATCCCCGTTGTAAGTAAAACTTTCAGAAATCGTCGCCATGCATGGCTCCAACATGAAATCCTAAAGTACGCATCGAAGCTCTCACGGCTTCCTGTCTTCTCAGACTCTCCTCCGGCTTCGTTGTACAATGAAGTGCGCCGTGAAGAACCTTTTGTCGGAAGACGGCCGCTGGGAGTATAGAAGTTCAAGGGCGCTGCACTAAAAACTGAAGAGACTCCTTCCGAGCTGTGGTTCTGACTTGTAGTGCAGCCTGAAACCTATGCTACCGCTGGATCAGCCCTGATGCTGGCACCAGGGAGCAGGAGCAGGTTGAAGGGGCTGCATCCACAAGTGAGCAACTTGACGCTATCGGATTCTCTCGCTGCACGGGCTGGTGGTCTTTGTCCTTATTAGGCGATGTACGTATACTGTACTTGTGCAGGGTTTCCTGTGATCTTCGGATCCAAGAGTACTGCTCTCGAGACGCCTCCAGCAGGCTTGCCAGCTTTGCTCGCTCGGTGTCGAGGGCCTGTGGCACAGGACACAGCCAGATTCACCTCTGCCTCTCAGAACTCGGAGGCAAGGCCTAGCTGCCTAGCTTGAAGTTGCGTTGCCAATCTGCAGAGTCAAGGCGTTCTGCCGCTACGCTTTGTTCAAGTCGCGAGCACTGCGGGCCATGCGAATGGAAGTCTCGAGCGCTAGGGCCTCATCCACTACGGTTCTTGCAACGCGGAGCCAGCCCGCAGGCCACACCTGTTGCGAGGTTCGCAGCGCACGATTGGCCTCCTGCAAGACAGCTGCATGCTTCCGCTGTGACTTCGTACGCAGATCACAACACCGCGACAGGAGTTGTGCCGGGGAGCATTCTGAGCAGCACTGCAACATCCCAGTAGACTCCGGAACTTTGCGTGGCCTCCAGCACCGTGAGCTGACTCTGGGCCAGGTGGAGTGAACTCCTGGTGGCCTCGCTGCGAAGACACAGACTTGCACCAGTGGTGATACCTTTCTGGGTAGATGCATTGTGCCGGGTTCCATGTCCAAGCGAATTCAGATTTGACGGCAGCTTCTGCAGACCGGCGAAAATGGACAAGAAGTCTGGCTTCTTCATCGCCCAAACCTGCACACGCTAACTGAAATCATCCGCCTCGAGCTCCTCTTCAAGCTGGTGTGCTCGTGCAGCCTTGCCGCATGCTCTCAACGTTGTTAACTTGCGGCCCGGCTGCAACCAAGAGATACTAGATCTTCAGCGACAGAAGCCACGCAAGCACCAGCTGCCACTGGCTGTCACTAGCTCACTAGCTGGGCCAGTTGCATGAAGCTGATACGATGTTTCTGACACACGGGCAGCAAAGTTGCACCTCTCAGCCCCGTATCATCATGTTTTTGAGCTCAGGCGTCTTGAGTCTTGACCACGTGCGGACACTGAAGGCGTATTTGGCGACGATCTTCTCTCACTGGGAACTTGGCGTCGAGTCGCGTCATCCCTTCTTCTGCTTGGTTCCTGAAGGTAGCAGGTAGTAGATTCTGCAGAAGGCGCCTAATACCAGAATGGCACAGAAGTCCGAGGTTAGAAGCAGGGGCAGAAACTCCATCCTGCCCCGGAACAGTAGCGAGTGCCCACCGAAGTCTCGGTAGGCACCTAGCAGGGCATAGGAAGCACCCAAGAGAATCCATGGCCATCGACCTGCATGTCCCAGAAGAGGTCTATCTTTTAGGAACACTTCGACGAGCCCTCCGAAGAGGAACAGCAGCCACTTGATGGAAGTCTCCATCATACGCTCGGGAAGCAACGGCATTATGGAGAAGCAAGCCACGGAGGAAAGCACCAAGTTGGACGCAGAGAGCGATGGTGCCGATAGCAGAGGGATGGTAACCATGAGAATCGCTTTCTCGTGCACGTGCCAGCCGAAAGAAAAGGCCACAGCAGACCCCAACCTGAGCAGTGGTTGCCGCTAGGGATGGTCAGTGTCCAGGACTTGGTTCGGTTTGCCCACATCCAGTGATCTAGTGCAATTCGTGAGTCTACAGCTTGCCAGGCAGCGCCAAATACGTTGCGAAGATGCCGCGCCCCGCGCCGGCTGGCCCTGCGCAGTGCCAGATGTTCATCAGCAAGGGACAGTAGGCCAGCAATGTCAGGATAAACCTCAGATAGGTGCGCAAAATGACCTGGCTTGCCACTCTAAGTCTTCCTGCGCAGTGCCGGCAGCTGAGGCACGTGGCTCGTGGCGGAACGGTCCACAACACAGCAGACTCGTAGACCTCAGCAAAGCCTGCGGTTGATGAAGAAGCACCTGCTGCGCCCATGACTTTGGCAAGAACCTCGAAAGGTTTGGTGCAGTGAATAGAAAGAGCAAATCTCTCTGCTCATTACAATCACGTGTTCGGCACTTTGCTGAACTTGGCCCAGAGGCTCGGTCGAATGTATTGTAAAGAGCCCAGCAGTTGGGGGCCCAGTAAGCATGAGTCAACCCGCGTCCGAAGGGAAACAAGCGCTGGGCAATTTGCTCGAGCTGTTGCAAGCTCAGGAACGGGCTCATGAGCACCAGAATCGTCGAGAGTACGACAGCACCGAGCTTTATCAAATTGCCAAGCAGGAGTCGCGGCGGCCAGCAGGATGCGCCGCAGTGGCCCCGTAGAAGGTACACGAAGTAAACAGGAGCCACATACAGGAAGATGTGCTTCATGCACAGCAGCAGACAGAAGAGCAACGCTCCCAAGTAGATTTGGCCCTTTTCAATGGCGGCGGCAGACAGAAGCAGCAAACCCAGCATCATCCCATTATATTGAAAGTGGATGTGATCCACCAGGATAAGTGCAGAGTTCCACAACAGCACAGCTGCTGTCTGAGGACCGCCCACTGCCAGGCCTCCAGCAAGCAGGACAAAGTCACCACCAACAACCTGAGCTTCGATGATGGGTCCCGATGCATGCCCCACACTGAGTCACTACTGCCAATGCTAAAACTAAAAAAGTCCGGGTCACTGAGAGCCGTTGAAAAGTTACGGTGGACCAACTGGCGTACTCCAAGTTACTTACTTGCAGCATCGCAGGGTCAACGAGAACCGCAACTTGAGACAGCAGCCATTCGAAGTATGCAAAGGCTGGAGGGTAATCTAGTGTCCACTGGGACGTCGCCTCGAAGTACCATTCAGACATGGGAAGGCTGTGTGTAATGGCCAGCCAGTTGCGGTGCACCTCGAAGTCGGTGCTTCTGTATAAGTCCAAAGGCAGCAAGAGGAGCCTGACTAAAAAAGCCCCGGCGATCAGGGACCAGGAGACTGCAAGGCCCGCCATCCACTGAGCGATGCTGCTAATAAATCCGAATTAATACGCCGACCATGTCGGACACCGTCGCTCCCCGAAAGGTGCTGCGGACTCGAAGGACGCGCATGCGACTCCAACCGCTTTGCTATCCTGTGCTTGCTGCGCATTCACATTCCAGCCTTCTCCTGGCTGGCACCGAGCTCTTTCTGCAACTGCTTCCTCCCTGACTCCAAAACAGAGACCTGAACCGTGCGGGCATTCAGGGAATCCTGTCTATCTGCACGCCTGTCATCTCCTACACCAACTTTTTGCCAAATGAATCACCCCTGCCATACGGTCGTCAATTTAGCTGACTGGGCGTGACCAAGTGGCACGGTGCTGCAGCTCGTTCACAAGGTTGCCTTCCTCCTCGTCGACGTTTTGGATGCCTTCCTCGCGTGCCTCTACGTCATCGTTCAAGCCAGCTTGCCGTTGCCTCAGGCTTGCTGCCAATTCCTGACCCTAGGACTCAGATCTACCCAATCTCAAGAAGGAACTGGCGAACTCAGGTGCAGCCAGGATTGCTCGTCTTTTAAGCGCATGAGGTCGTCGTGGAGACTTAGGTTGGCCGACATCAGCTCCTTCCGAGATTGCGTGCAAACTCTCACAGCTTGCACGACCCACATGCTCAACAGCCAGTTCCCGTCCTCCACCATTACTGTCTTACCAGCCCGTCTCCCGCGCCGCAGAAGCTGAGGCCTACAAGAGTAACGGCACCGAGAAGACGAGCAAACCACCCTTGTAGGAGTTGTGTTTTTGTCTGCGCGCGCAGAGAGGTTCAGAACTCCGAAGATGAAGGAATCGACTCACAACGCAGAGACATGAGAGACCTTCTACTTCATGCGATTCTGCCAGGCCCAACTCCAATGTGCGCTCTCACACACCGACTGGTCGCCGGGTCCAACTAATTACCCAGCGAGGACCGCACGTTGGCAGCTCGCTGTCGCTCTCCTCCTCCTCTGCTGTGGCCTGTGAATTTTGGCCGCTGTCACGCCGGATAAGATAAGCGTCTCATGCTCTGTCTAGCAACTTGCCTTTTCAGAGTTACTCAAACGTTCCAGAAAGCCTGGCATCTTTTTGAAAGTCGGCATCTACTCTGCGAAGCAATGGCTTGAACCTGCGCTGTTCCCAAGCCTTGCGAAAGCCTCCGAGTCCCTGTATGGCACATTCCCGGCCCAAGCTCCCCTTCTCTTTCTGCCTTCCCTGTGCTCCAGAAAGGCTTTGACTTTCTTACAAGCTGTTGCTGCATTGAGGCCCGTTGCGTTGCTCTGCTCTCGCAGCGCCTCCTTTGGCCCAAGTGGAACCGTGCAGGCTCGCCGGACAGGCTCCACAGATGCCCTGGCACACAGCGTTGCAGTGTCGGGAGGCTCCTGGGACCAGCTCTAAAGGGGACCTCCTGGCCACATGCGCAGTCTTCTCTGCATGCTCTTTCACCTGAGCGACAGGCTAAGATCTTCATCAGTCTGGCTTTGGGCACCAGCCCTGCAAGTGCTGCCAGGAGGCTACCTGCTCCAACTCCTGCACAACATTGCACAGCACAGGCAAGATATGGCAAATGGAAGCCAAATGCATGGACCGCCTCGTTCTTGAGAAGAAGCCTTAGATTGCTATTGCTTTCTTGCAGATGCGGGCCCCGTCACGACCTGTCGCTTCTATTTTGCATTCCAAGGCGTAAGGCCTGCAGACTATGCTTGGCACTGTGAAGTGCGGATGCCTCTTGGCCCCTCATGGTGCTGGCCTCTCACACGACTCGCGCAGCCGAGTGTCTCTTGACCAATCTGCGCCGATCTTTGTAGGTCTGCCTGCTACGAAGCCGCAGCGAACATCCCACATCCCTAAGGCCCCATGGTGTGGCAGACCCTCTGCCGAGGACCTCGAGAGCCTCGCGCAGCGCCCGCTCCTCGGCCAGAGCCCGCCTGTGCAAAGGCAAGCAGATAGGTCGACGTCGCCTACGACGTACTACGAGACCTTATAGACGACCTGCAAACCTTGCTCTGCAGGCGCATGTGACTTGCCGTTCGCTCGACGGCCACAGCACGGCCACAGCAACACTTGCCGACAAAGCCAAGGTGTCTCCATGCTCGTCGCAGCTTCCCACGCCTGACTTCCAGGATCTCTGACGCATCTGGATCAGCCATCTTTTGGGATCAGCGCCAGTGTAAAGGGCCGGGTACCACCTTTTGGCCTCTGCGTCTTAGTGTCTTAGTGTTCGAGTAGATGAATCGCTGGCTTGAGCTCGTATTTCTTGTGTTGAATGCATCTGAAGCTGGAAACCGTAGAAGTTCCACGCCCAAGACTTTGAGAAAGTGTTTCTGCAACCGTGAAGGGATCATGCCGCGAGCACAAGGGCAAACAGCACAAGCTCAGCTATCTGCTACGATTGGATTTGTAGCTAGCCCTGTACCAGTAATCCCCGAGAACATCATCACCCAGTGCAGGAAAATAACACGCCCATGCATGCCCACTGACTCTTGCGAAGGGTCGACGCATTTTTCGTTTAAGCTGCTGGTAGAGGCGCTGTCAGGATACACCTGACACCATTAGGGCAGCGAATGCGACCACTTCGCCGGCCCCTCGAAAAAGGCGGGAATGAGACATCGCAAGCGCTTTTGCCCTGCCCGAAGCTCGGGGCCTTTTCGGATACATCTTCCAAGCGTCTAGACACGGAGGCTTCAGCTGAAACTGCGTAAATTTCCGTTGAGCCACCTAGCTGATGCCTCGCGTCGGGGGCTGCAGGCCATCCTCCACTTATTAACTTCCGGGAGCTCATGGAGATGACGGACAGCCCAGCCGGAAGCAGCCGCGCATTTGACGCGGCCTGGAGTCCTTTTCGACGAGGCGACTGGCGACTTCGATCAGAGAAGACACCGGGCTCGGGCTGAGGACTGTTCTGACATGGTTGGATCGCCACGTCATCGGGGACATGCTTGAAAAGCCGGCCAAACCTCTTTGGGCAGAAGCATCCATGTGCACGAGAGCCTTTACAGCGCATGGCGTTACTGCGCGAGGAAGGTCAGCAGAAACGAAGCTATTCGGGCGTGTGTGACCCTATGTGGGCGCATCACCTGCCGACTTAGAACATCCCAAGTCAACTACTGAAGCCAGTTGAGCAAGGGATCGAAGCCTTTCCGGCCCCATCTTCGCACCAAAATGGCCAGCATGCAGGGTTCTGGAAGCGGCGTCGGGACGTGATGGCTTGCTTTTTCAAGGCTGATATTGATCTTACCTGACCAAGAACGATTGGAAGTTGCATAGTTAAAGCTACGGGAATCTACAGGCGCAGCAGGGCCCATGGCGATAGCGCCAGCTATCCTTCCCATGATCGAGCTGAACCAGCCGGAGTTGACCCATGTCTTTGGGACGACACTCGGCACTGGTTCCATACAGACCACATTCACAAGCCACCATGCATTCCCGCGAACCTTGCAGAAGCGTCCGCATGACAAACGGGGGCTTCAAAATCGTAGGCAGAAGCAGTCATTGTGTTGATCATTGATCTGTTTGAAGCACCCGTCGCCACTCAATTCTCGGATTCTGTAAGAGGCTCTTTGCTCTACTTGCCAGCCACGTCATCGGCTCTTGAGCCCCTGGAAGAGGTGGAGGTTCATGCTTACTCTTTCTCGACTTGATGTCTGCTAAGCTGCTACACAGCTCCTTCAAACAGATTGTGGAGTTCAGCACGCACACACACACACACTGCGGAAGAAAGACCTCTACATGAAAAAGTTCGAGAATCCCAGATATGCCCGAGATGCAAAGCTTATTTGTTCTTTCCGACGTGATTGGCCCGGTGATACAGAAAAAGCCTCACAGGTCGTGCATCAAGCGGTGTTAAGTGGCACCTCGCAGCCCTAGACAATGGGTGCACCTCGGTCGAGAGCAGACACAGATTAAGACTTTCAATGTGCCATGCCGAAAAGCTGACTGTGAGGCGCGGACCAAGCAAGCGCAGTGCTTGTCGGAACATCCGGTGGCTGCTTTCGGCCATTACCTTGAAGCTTGTCGCCGACAGCCCGGACGAGGTTTCTGTCTTATGATTCTTCTGTTACCTTCACCCCGGAGGCCTGGAAGTACTGCGCTTCCGGACTTTAACGGCCAAGAAGCAAACAGGGGTGGCCCTCGATACTCTTGTACATCATAGGGGCCTCGACGAGACTTTATCCACACATTGTGGAAAGGGCGCTCACTTGCGCGTGGAGCAGAAAGGCTCTCAAATTGATTCCGACTTTGCTGCGAGCTGCCGGCTCAGTCTGCCCGAACCTCGACCTTGGCTCAAAAAGGCTCGGATCGAGGCTCAGGCTCTGAGGTCTTTGTCGGCTGAGACACACCAATCGCCAGCGAACTCCCTTTGTCCACGTGGGAGCGCCAGTCCATACTGAGCTCACAAACCTCCGAAAGAGACAATTTCAGAGACCTGGGACCTCTCAGCACTGAAAGATCGAGCCTGAGACGTGCAGTGCTCCGCAGAAGCAGAAAGTGGACCGAGCCGACACGAGCCGATGTTGAAGTAGATGCTGATCTGCTCTGCCTTTTGACAAGCATGACGGCACGGTCCACCGCTCAACGGCATGCACAAAGGTGCTTGAAGCACATGAAGAACGACGCACACAAGTTGCCACAGTGCATTCGGCTGGGGCCAGGACACTCGGCCTTCTGCTGAACTTCAGCTGAAGCGATCCGTAGCGACATCCTTTTTGCCAAACCTGCTCGGAGACGTCTTCGCTTGACTCCGCGAGTCTGCCCCAGTCTTAAAGTCGTGAAGGACCGAAGCTGAGCGCATTACGGTCAGAATGTCACGGGTTTCCTGTTCTTCATGGGACGTGCCGCGCTGTCAGTAGCGTTCGTTTCGCAACAAAGCGCAGGGGAGGGAGGGGGAGACGAAAGCTCCTACAGCAGTGACACGCGGGGCTTGTTCTGCATGGCAGAAGGATGCATCGGTGCGGATCATCCAAGCAAACCTCGGCGCAAGGTTGCGCAGGAACACCACAGTGTCAGCATCACAAAGATCATGGGCATTACGCATCCACATTTTCACAAGAAAGCCAGCCACCAGCATGACGAGAATCACGGGTGCCTCCGTTTCGAAACCAAAACAGCCGTTCCAAAAGACCGGCTTTTGTCCACGTTTTGGGGTGCGAATCCCCGCTCTAAACCCACCGGAACAGGTCAGCAAAGCAGAGTATGAGCCGAAAGCTCCCCTTCGGTGGAGAAGGCTCATGTGTAGAAATGACATCACGGCAAGAAGCGAAGGCGCATGAAGGCGCGCTGTCCTGCACACCTGCCTAGGCCCTCCCCTCACAGGAGACGGGCCTTGTCCTTCCTGTGCTTCTTGGGATCCTTTGGCTGCGCATTTTGCCAGAGGGTTCCCGGCGTGAAGATCCTGAGCTGGGCACCATCTCTTTCAGCGAGCGAAGGGGCATATCCCAATCCCGACGAGGGGAAGTTTCCATCCAAGTCTTGACTGCGAAATTCCATCTCGTGTTACGAACTTGATCTCATAAACTTGCATAAAGAATAGTATCTCGGCAGCCATGCGGCGCGCGCATGTCATTGAAGCCGGCCAGGCTGAAGGGGTTCGAAACCAATGGGCATCCACAGTTGGCCTTGAACTTGGCATTGGGATTCCTGAGTTGGTTGGGGTGGCAGCGGATACTCAGAAAGAGGCGGCTGTCTTTGTCGGCTTGGCTTCAATGCATCTACTGACCTACTGCCTACAATCAGCTGCGTGTCAAAATCGTCCATTCCCAGGATGTGCTCGTTGGTTCGATGGCCGCTTCTGCCTCCATCCCCTTTGCAGCACCGACACCACAAACTGTGCCGACACGATCCGCCTTGGCTCTGACACCGTGAGGAGGGAGGAAGGGAGGGAGGGAGATCGAGAGGCAGATGTGGCTGTGAGATCACATCTACCGGCTGGGCACTCCCATCCCACAAGACAGCAGCACGTTTAAACAAAAACCTCCCGACCTCGCCAACTGGCAGCTCCAGTCCGGGCCTCACAGGCAGCAACATGCACTCAACCGGGCTAAGGCTCGCAAACTGTTTGTGTTAGTTGTTAGTTAACTTGGCATAGGCCTAATGAGTTAATGAGGCTCGAACTAACACTCAATCTGCGGGGCTCGCAGGGTAGAATCTTGCTGTAAACCTGACATCATCTCCTCGCACGAAAACTCCGAAACTCCGTATCCGAAACTCTGCTAGACTCTCGATGCCATTACAACATGTGGCGCGATTCGTGTAGAACTTGTCCGCGCTAGACGGTCAAAACTGCACACAGCATTTGCTCTGAATGCTGTTGCGAGAGTCGGTGGGCCAACCGGGAAAGATGGAGGCAGGCCTGGGCACAGGAGCGCATGATGCAAACAGCGACGAATCGGTCTCGCCGGAAAGTCGACCCAACACACACTCAACTGCCCACAGGTCGTGTGCAGATCCAGTGGCATTCAGACAACGCCAATGGGATGGCAGGCAGCCGGTCTGCAGCCGGCGGCAAACCTGAGCAAGATTCGCCGCTTACTGAGAGGTTCCGAGTGACAAGCTTCGATTTCTCTTTTCCATGGTGTCTTCGCATCCTGTGCTCAAGGACATGGATGAAAGGAGCTCGCTCTTCATCTGTTATCCATGGTGCTCGTTGCACGTCGCCTGTATCGAGCTCTTTCCTAACCCGGCGTTGCCCTCCAACGGCCTCGGGCACATCGGTCAAGTTCATCGCGGTCGGCAAACTTCAGCACGCCGCAACATCTCCTTCTTGAAGGTCGACCACGGCATCAGCATCGCGACCAACTTCGTGGCATTAGATGGGATGCACAGCGTGCGTTGGCGGATCGTATTCACCCGAAGTACGGTAGTAGATGATAGAGTACCGCTCGCCTGTGTAGCCAGAGACCCAGTGGGGGAATCGACCATCAATGCAGGCCAAACGGTTGCGTGTGTCCAACACACGAACCAGATTGGGATTTTCTTCAACACACAGTGACCCGCCCTCTGCAAAATCTCCTGTGGACAGTGCATACTGCACCGAGAGATCGTTCTGATCTATGTGTGGGCTCCCTCGGAAGTTCTTGGTTACCGCCATGGCCGTAAAGTGGAAGGCTGCGGCTTTGGGAGATGCTCCGCGTAGCACTTCTTCGGCCAGTGC